CTAGGTAGAGCTACGATGATGTGTTTAGCGCCAATTGCATAGCTAGGCGAGCCTAGTTTCGTGAGTTAGATTGAGCCTCACTCACGAGTTGGGCTGAGCCATATCATTGAATTAGGCTATGCTTGGCTCACGATTTGGGTTGTGCTTAGCCACATAGGTTGGGCCATGCTTGACCACATTATCATAGACTTAACTAGTTTTACGAAAGTCATGTGGCACCCTTGCATGTCCATCCATAAACAGCTAGTCTACCCAAAAACTTTTATAGTCTTCTAAGCACTTACAAAAGAGAAGACGAGTTAGAGGAAGTGTTTAACTCGGGATCCCATAAGCAGACATTTCAACAAATATTTGATAGGCTATATAAATTATAAATATAGATTTCGTAGACTCTAAATGATCACATGACAAAAGGTCCAAGATAGTTCGCTGTAATAAAAAAATCCATATAAGTGCTCACATGACATTATTGTGAAATAAGACGAACCAGCTCTAGACACTATCTCAAAGACCCATCTAGCTATGTGTCACCCAAGTAGCTCTTGTGTGTTATACTAGCTAACATTTGCATTACTCTAGAAAACCTCCAAAATGGTAGCCTAGATGACCTATTTTTGGATAGCTTTGCCTCTACGCAACATTTGCACACAACCTACATTTATAAGACTAAAACAACTACAAAAGTCAACCAAAATGGGATTACCAAGCCTACTATAAACTCTCTACATGTTGTGCAAAGCATAAATATAACCAAAAGACATATGATAGCACGGGTTGGGTTATGTTTGGCCATATGAGTTGAACTATACTCGGCCATATGCGCGAAGTCATTTTTAACCACATAGATTGTGTCATATCTGGTTATATGGGCTAGGTCATGCATAGCCACATGAGTTAGGATATGCTTAACCATATTAATTATATCATACTTGTCCACATGGGTTAAGTCATGCCCAACCACATGGGTTGAATTGTACCTAGCAACATGGATTCAATCATGTCGGGTCATATGGGTTAAGTCGTACTTAACTAACATGGGTTGGAATATACGTAACCATAAGAGTTGAATCATACTTGATCACATGAGCTAGGTTATGCTTGACCACATGAGTTGGTCTAACTAATTAACTTAATTCAAGTCTAACTATAATTTCATCCTTATTATTAAATTAGATTTTAACATTTTGAGAAGTATTTTAAAATATTATAAAATAATAATTAACCATAACTCCATTCTTTTTTATGAATTAACTAATTTAGATTCATGATTTCAAATTTAAAACAAATTAAATTATAAAAATAACACATAATTTTTTGAAGCATAAATATGTATAATTAAATAACTTAAAATTACTATTTAATTAACTAATTATTCTAATATCACCCTTCAATGATGATTATTTATTATTTATAAAATTTTAAAATTAAAATATAAATAAAAATTGATAAGAAAATAATAGAAGATCCTATCAGTCCTCGAGATCCTAATGAATCCACTCTTAAATCCTCTTACTAATAGGCTAAGTGAATAATGAGAGGGGAGAACCCCAAAAAGATGAGCATTTTTCGAAAGATAAGTTAATAATTTAATTTTTATTTTTAAATTTATTTTTATTTTATTTTTATATACAAAGAAAGAATCATGATATTTATTTCTTATAGTTCACAGACAAAAATAAAATTTAAATTATTACTTTCTAAAAATTACATCACTCGTTAGGAAATAAATCAATAACATTCTTAACTTGTTCATGAATCAATTTTAATTATTTCCTTAACCATACTACACAAACAAGGAAGCTAATGATTTATTTTCTAAAAATTACATCACTCATTATTTATTTTCTTATGGTTCACATATAAAAAGAAAATTTAAATTATTTATTTTTTTAAATTAAGAAATAAATCAACTAACAATTTAATTGATTGATAAAATTTCTAACATGTCCATATGATTAAGGAAATAAATTTTAATTATTTCCTTATTCATATTATATAAATAAGGAAGCTAATAATTTAAATAAAATAATACATTATTTATGACAATTTAATTTATGTTAAGGATAGAAAAAAAAAAATCATCTTTAAATACAATACAATACTGCTTCCCATAAATAGAAGAAAACTAATGCCCTTCACCTAGTATATGTGCTTTGAATATTAGAATTTTGATCTGGTTAGATCTTTGCCAACCAATAATGCTACAATGACCCTATTATCTTTTGAGGACCTAGTCCTACTCTGTCCAAGTTTCATGCACTTTTAGGATCCTAACATATCATATAGGGCATGGATTGTAACAAGTCCATAGGTCAATTTAGAATGCTTGTTTATAAATTTCTAAAGCATTTGTACCCATAAAATTTGGAATTTGAATTTAGTTAGATACATGGAACCTAGGGAGAGAGGAAACTCTTGAGCATCCTAGCCCCACCTAGGCATGAATCTGGGACCTTTAGCACCCTCTCTCTATGTAGAAAAATCCAATTGCTAGAAACCAAGTATCATTGCCCTACCTTTTGTTTGTCCAGAAGGATTCACCAAACACACCACAACAATGAAATAGAAGGAAACAGTTCCCTTTTTGATGCATTATCCTTTAATTTCTATGAGTAGATTCAAGTACTCAAGCATTCACTAATGAGTCCTGGTATTGACTCTCTTCTCCTTCTTAGGTAAGAGAGGTGAAGTCCCTTCACATCTATCTCTCTCTCTCCATCTATCACAAACATCACTCACCATGTCTCTAAAAGCCCAGATATCCTACTCCCATGGAAAGATTCCCTTCAGACTTATGTCCACAATCCAAGAGAGAGAGCTCAGAATCCTCTTTCACTATATGTTCCTTTCCACAACTACAGAGAAGTGAGAGGTGAGAGAGGGGGCTTAACCCCACTCAACTAAAGACATGTACTCCCTATGCACATGGGAAAAAAAAGGCCTCTTTCAAAGTGGTTTGGTCCAGACTTTTCTTTTATTTTGTATCACCATCCATTTCTTTGCCCTTCAGTACACAACAGCTGCCAATTTGGTGTGAAATGAGCAAGTTGGTCCTCCAGTTTTGATTTAAGTACTGCAACAGCAAAAGAGAGGGATGGAAGATGGAAGAAGGTGAAGAGGAAGAGGAAGCAATCATATAAAGCACATGAAGATCCACATGCTTGGACCATGGACCAAATGATTCTGGGGGATGAGGAAAGCTTCTCTAAGATGTGGGGAGGGGGCAAACCCAACTTATTGTTTCAGGTTGGAATTGTACTTCACAAACCTTTATTGAGATCATTTCATCATTTTTCATCAGTTTAGAAATTAACTTGAATTCTAGTATGGATAATTAAAGTCACAACAATATACACAACAATTGAATCATAACTTCATACATCATATTTTCAAAAGGTTACTTCTCGATAAGTAAATCTTATTCAGCAATCTTTTTTTTTCAAAATCATATACATATAATTTTTTTTCTTTATCGAAAAGAAGTTGTTGTTCAAATTGCAAAGATGGCAAATTGCAAGAGTTTATATTGGCCTTTGAGCTGGTTGGCAACCCTATCTCATGATTGCTTTTTCCATCTTTTGAAGAAATGGCCTCTATGATTTGCTCTGATAGCACCAAAAAGCACAAGCAATTCAAAGTCTTACTAAAAAGTCACTTGGAATACTGGAAATTTTCTGAAACAAATTAGCCTGGAATTAAACAAATCTTGAGACAGATGGCAAATTGCAAAGATGGTATGATGAGAAGACAGCAAAAGCAAGTTGGACAGTGTGTGCAAAAGCATTTCATTTTCTAGTGGCTTTCCATCTGAATCTTGTCCTCAAAAGAATCATGCTAACGATGGACGATAAAAGAAGAGGTTGTTAACATCATAAACCCAAACAACAATCTGCTCGAATCAGAGAATCCTACTACTCCTTCCCGTCATCAGCATGCTCTTCCTATCCTTTTTCTGTTTATTCTTTGGTGTCAAATCATGGGCTCACTCTTGAAAGCAATTCCGGTATTTGTCTCGGTTCAGAGTTTGCCGAGGACGACGACAACAATGATAATGTCCAATGGGAGCGTCGACCGGTGCCTCGTTTACCACACAAATGCCTCGCTGCAGAAACAAGAGCAAGAAGGAAGACCATGCTGCTGCCACATGGATGATGGTAAAGAGAGGAAGGGAAGCCGGGAAACATGGCCTTCAGATGACCCCATGCATTAGCTGTGACTGTTGACTCTTTGGTACCAAGGTGGCCTGCAAATGTCATAAAAGAATGGCACCCCTCCCCTCTTCGCCTCCATGTTCCACTTGAGTCATGACAGGCTCAGCTCTCCCTGCCACCCACCTCCTGTGACCCTGTCCGAGCAAGTGGGTCCAGATACCACCAAAGACTGAGATGGTACAGGTTGTGCCATGTCCTGTCTCTCGCCGAAAACTTGGTCTGCTGAATAATCCTAAATTGGTTGTACCTACAATTGACCATTTCGGTCGACAGAATACAAGAAGAACTCATCATCGACAGTGCAGGTATGTGTGAGCAATCAAGCACTCAGGTTGCTGGTTATGCTTTAGAAATGGGAGCCGAGTAAAGGGAGGATGGAGGAGAATGGGATGTGTGCAGGCAGAGGAACATTCAACTGCAGAATCCACTGTAACCCATAAAAGCTGTGGCCAGCATGCACATGGCTGGCCTGGAGAAAGCTCTTCGGTGCTGTGCTGAAAAGAACCAAGAGAGAGAAAGAAGGAAGAAGCATGATAATGTTGGAGGCAGACTTGTTTACTTGGCAAACCAATCACCAGGTGAAAGATAGCATTCTCCACCTTGCTTTGGTTGTGCTCTTCACCACTCACATGCCCACCGGCAGCCATTCCTGTTTGCGCAATGGAACTGCCTCGTTCCATTTAGTACAGAGAACATAAGATTTGTAGCAGCATAGAATGAAGGACTCTGAAAGCAAACGGGAAAACTTAATTTCCCCTGCCACAAAAGTAACCAGCAAACAGTATGATGTAGATAAAGGAACATAAGCTACATTCTTCTTGTATGAAAAGTCTCAAACAATGCAAACCATATGACAAGAAAGTGCACAGAAGAAGCCAATGTACAAAGAAGCATTTACAATGATAGCAAGTAGCATGAGTCCTCTCAGCTCCTTTCTGACTCTAGAATCATGACACATGAACTGTATTAAGAAACTACAGCAGCAACTCACACAGGTGAACAAATGACTCCAACAAACAAACCAATTTCACACCCAAAAAAAAGGAAAAGAAAAGAAAAGATTTTATCATCCAAAGAAAACCCAGTGCTTCCTAATCTTTAGCTTTATTTCTTTTGACTTGAACAAATGGAGAGGAAGAACGGCAGCCGCCTATGTTGATTCGGCAGAGCTCTTAGCCTTGGATCGGTAGAGGAGCTTCTTCTTCTTGGATGTCGGGTTCTCGATGTTAAGAACTACTTTTCCGGGCTCACCGATCTTGAAAGAGGTCTTGATGACAGGCTCATCAGTAGCGATCAGCTTCCTTGTCTTCTGCACGATCACCGTGTACCCGTCCTCTGCGCTTGGCACAAACTCAGCACCGTAACTGACCTCCCATCCCAAGACGCGGAGTTCCCAGACCAGGAGGGTTGTCTGTCAAGACAGCATCATGATCCAAACAGAGCTATTACCAAACTGCTTAAAGCATGAATAATTCCTCTAATCACTAATGAAACAAAGAAGAATTCAAGATAAGGTGAATGTGATTGAGGCACAACCTCAGGAACTGGTATTTCTATGGATTGCTTTGATGAGGGCTTGATGGTAACCTCGGTGACAGCATCAGCAGTAGTGAAATCTGGATCATTCTCCTTGCTTAGGCCTCCAATTGCAACCGGCACTTGCTCAGGCGCTATGTACCTGAATCAAGAACACGAACTCATGTAAGAAAGGTTGTCAAATTGCCTAGGGATTGTATCAGCAAAGAAACTTAAGGGATCTTCACACACTTGAATAGAGTCTCTGCCGACTTGGATGGCCCAGCGAAGACAAACTTGCTCTTGGTCCTCTGGGTGAAGAAGGGACTTATCATCCGATTAAAAGCCAAATACCACCACGGAACGTTGATGAACACCTAAAATAACACGGATGTTACAAATTATATGTGAAGATGGATCTGTCTCATCCAATTATAAACACATATATCATATAAAATTACTTTAACGAAAAAACCTTTGCTTGGATGAATTACATATGCGGATGGATTAGTCTCACCCAATCGATAGAGTTAAGATCTATTCGAGAGTTTCGACAAAAGAATCGATTTGACCACCTTAGCCTTCATTTATAAGGAACAATTGCATTCCATTCTATAAGCAAACGCCTTAGGAGATGCAAAGATAGCTGGAATATAATTTACACTCTCACTTACATGTATCCAACTATCTGATCATCCTATATATCAAGCAAAGCCAACATAATTTTTATGCTCTTGTAATTAGGAATTAGTTGATTGAAGAATTTGATCTCTCTCGCAGAGATGCAGTTTGGTTAACACAACTCGGATCCAATTGCACATCATGCAGATAAAGGTGAACTGAAACAGGAAGAGGAGGACTAGAATTCTATGCTAAAAGTACCTTCTTGGCGATGAATTCAGGGTAGTTGTCCTGCAACAGGGTGACGGCCTGCTTCGTAGCCTGGCGATGCTTCCCGAGCCGTGGCGTGTTCTTGAGGTCGGTCACCTGAACCATGGATGAGATGCCACCGGGAGAGAAGTCCAAGAGCTCCCTGATTCCCTTCTCCAGATATTGGATCCTCCACTTCAGGAACTTCTGCCTCTTCTCCTCGTCGCCGAAGGCTTTCTCGTAAAGCTCCTTGTTTTGGAACTCGCCGTAGACGTTGTAGCACACGGGGTGGCCCTCCTTGTCGACGCCGTGCATGAACACGGCCTTCTCCAGCTCCGGCAGGCCGAGGTCCTCCTCGAGGAGGGCCTCGATGCCGAACTGCTTCCTCCAGATGACAGCGTTCTTGAGCATCGCCATGGCGTCCTTCACCTTGAAGTCCCTGGCGCGGAGGAACTTGAGGAGGATGGTGTCGCACTTCTCGTCGCCGACGAGCGGGACGCCCCAGATGAACACCTCCTCCGGCGGTTCCGCCGGTGGTGGAGCAGGGGTCTCGGCTGGCTGCTCCTTTGTCGCCTCCTCCGCCGCCGGAGTGACCTCCTCGGTGGTAGCCGGAGGAGGGGCGGTGACGGCGACGACGGTTTCCTCGATCGCTTCAACTGTCTTGGCGCCGTCCTCATCGGCTGCGACAACCTTCTCCTCCACTGGTGTTGGCGGGGGAGGTAAAGGCTCCACCTTTACAGGTGGGACGGTTTCCTCCTCGGCTGCCACCGGCGGGGCGGGTGTCTCCGTCTCCGCTGGCTTCGGAGGCTCTTCGGTCTCAATCTTGGGTTCCTCCGTAGCAGGGGCAGCGGGCTCTTCAGGCTTGGATTCCTCCTCCTTGGCTGGAGCCGATTCCTCCTCTTTGGCCGGAGGCGTAGGTGGAGACGGAGGAGGTGGAGGAGGAGCAAACTCGTTGTTCGCAAGGGCAGCTTGCACGAGCTGCTTGAAATCGTCGAGGGCCTTCTTCTCGGGGTCGACGGGGTCAGGAACGGCGGTGCTCTCCTCCTTCAAGGAGACAGACGGTGCCTCAGTGGTCTCAGCCGGCGCCGCCCCCTCCTCCGCCTTGGGCTTCTTCTCCCCAGCCTCCGGCGCCGCCTCCTCGGCAGGCTTCTCGGCCTCCTCCGCCACCACCGCCTCAGGAGCGGTTACCGCAGGCGGCGCCTCGGTCACCGCCACCTTTTCCTCCGCCGGGGCCTCAGAGACGACGACCTCCGCCGCGGGTGCCGCATCGTGTGCCTTGGTTTGGGCTTCGTCCGCCATGGTCACCGCGAGA